GGCTTAAAAACACTGCCATTTAATGTGCTCATGGTCCTGAGGTCAGGATTCTGGAAGGGCAGGATGGGGGGAAGCAAACCCCTGTTCAAAGGGGGGGTCTGCTGGATCAGCTGCACTTAGCTGGAGCCTAGCTGGGACAACAGGATTACTCCTGCTCAATGGATGATGACTGACCCAGTCTGATGATCTCTCCAGCATACCAGAGGGGCTTTTTACTTGGCAGCTCAGGGCCCCCAGGAATATACATTTGGAAGCTTCCAAGCTTAGGTTGCCTTCGAAGCTTAGGCTAGAATGGGTTGGGCATCACTTCTGCTGACTTTAATTGGTTAAAGTGAGTCCCAGGGCCTGCCAGAACTAAAGGGGAGGGGCCACACCAGGGTGTGATTAGGGGAAGGCATATTGCAGTGGCTGTCACCAATGCAATAGCCTACCCAACATGAGTCAGATCTAGGAGGAAGAACAAGACGTGTTACTCCAGGCCTGAGATGACCCCTTTGTTCCAGTACTGGGCCTTGAAATTAAATAGATGTAGGCTCCCATCCTGGCTTGGTCACTTCTCAGCTGCCTGACCTTCCTTGGCTTTGGAGGCTTACTGCACCCTGGCCTCCTGCCTCTCCAACCTTCAGTGCTGCTCCTGTCACCTGTATAGACAGGCAAGTGTGAACACCTGTCCTGGGATGTGCTTCCTGTCTTTCCCTTTCTGCTTGTGCCTCTTATGTCCCATGGTTGCTCTCCAGGCACTCTCCTGCCTGCCTCCTTTCCCAGACACCCTGATCTGTCCCCTCTCTGAGGCATTGCCATCTACCCCTCATGTGTTCCACAGGCTACCTTGTGTTTTCAGTTTTCTTTTTACATGTCCCTTCTGTCTCCTGCCATCTGAGTAGAAGCCCTTTGAGTGTAGGATTTGAGTCCAGAGAAGCTGGGAATCCTTGTCAAGGTGAAACAGGCAGGTTGGCGTGGAGAAGGCTAGACAGATGGCCACTGTGGTGACTGCACCTTCCCAGCTGGGAGACTCTGAGGTAGTAGCAACAAGAGCCACTCTGGTCTCCTGCCAAAGAGGCTGGATTCAATAGGCCAAGGAATTTGCTGGTGAGGTGAGCAGCTAGAACATGAGAAAGGGGAGGCTGAGGTTGGGGTTGGTGGAGGGGTTCTCTTTTGGAGAGGACCCTGTGCCTTGCAGACAACCATGTCCCTTAGTCTCCTTTTCTCCTTCCTCAGGATCAGTCCAGGGTCTGTTCATAGATAAAATCACAGGGTTGGAGAGTAGTAGAGACTGGCTGGAAGTCCACATGATGCCAAGGCCTGTGCTTTGCCACCAGTCAACACTGCCTTCATCAAGGCTGTCTGCACCTCTCTCACTGGCAGGTTGAGATGTCACCTTTCCTGTTCCAGGTAGAGAAGCCCCAAGATGCTGCCATGCCACAGCCTGAAAAAGCAGGGTAGCTTGAGTAGACAAAAGTGGTTCTAGAAGGCATGAGAAATGGCATTCTTTATTCATAAATAGAAACATAAAATTATCAGAAATAGTTTACATGGCCATTTTTGGGCATCAAAAATAAAACAAAGCTGTCAAAAGCAAATCAATCAAACAAACAAAATAACAAGAAACCACCTAGAGAAAAATAACTATGTGCATATTCTTCCAAATGCCAGTCTGTCCAAAGCCAGCCTTGACTGGAGGTTCCAGCTCTGCCTGTGGACTCAGCACAAGACCTACCACACCACAGGTGAGGGAAGCATCTACTGTACAGGGTGCACAGCTTCCTGCCACAGCAGCTCTGGCTCAGGAGAACTCAGGATCCATGGGGAAAGCCCTCTCCCAAAGCTGCTTGCCCCAGCCTGCCTTCCTCTGGGTATCCCTCTCAGCTGGGCCGGGGCAAGAGCAGGGCAAGGAGCAGAGGCTCAGCAAGTGCTTCTCAGGGGAGAGCTAGCTCTCCCCGGTCCCTGTAGAGTTCAGTGCCTGTGGAGGCCAGAGTGCACCCAGCAGGACACAGTAGCCAGAAGAAATAGCCCCAGGGGAACCCTGAGAGAGTCTGGTCATTGCAAGGCCCGGAGGCAGAGTCCCCTTCTTGGTGAAGTGGTGCTGGATGCTGCTTGCTATCTCTTTGTAGGCAGCCAGAGCATTTTCAGACCAAGCATCCTTTGGAAGAGCAGAGCCAGTGGATCTGACTGAATGAGCAAGTATGCCAGCAGGAGTGTTCAGAGCAAAGGGCAGCCAGCTCCTGCTGGCTGGCCCTGGGCCAGACCCTCTGCTCTGAAGCCCTGTCATCTGACTTCCCAGTCCCTGCTCAGCCTCTGTTGTTCAGAGCCTCCTTCCAGAAAGGCTGAGTTTGGCATGGGGAAGGGAAGAAAAACCACATGGCAGTGAGGTCGCTATGTTACACTGTTGCACTCTGGTGCCACTTTGGGCTACTCTGGGGCCTTGGGCTGGTGGCAGACCAGGTAGGGCATCCATGGTTTGGCTTTAGGTCAGGATGCAGAGTGCAGGGCAGTGTCACACCATGGTGGAGTGCAAACCTTGCCCCTGAGCGCCCTCCCCTGGGCTTAGCACACACCTCTTCTCAGGCAAGGTCTTGAGTGCAGGGTGCCAGGCTTTTGGCTGCTTTCTGGGGGTGGGGAGTGGTGGGGTATCTCCAGCCTGGGAAGGAAACAGCAGCCCCTTTATCTCGTGGCAATCTCACTGAGAAAAAGGACTCAAACAAGGCACAGGCTGGTGAAAATAGAGGGAATGAGGGCCGTGTGTAGGAGTGCTGACAATATAGACTCCATTTTTGGCCCTCCATCTTGTTCGTGTTCACTTGATGACCTCTCTTGGGAATACGTGTTCTGGGCCCCTCGGAGATTAACATACGTACCTTAGACATGCCTTCCAAGGCTGGTATTGGGGGAGGCTTGTTTCAGCCTCCCATGAATCTGTTAGAACACAGTCTTTCCTCTTCCTGATGAACAGGTGGTGCCACAAGATCTAATTAAAGGTTAGCTGTCAATTAGGTGCATGCAAACCCTTTGATCTTACTATATAATGCCCTTCTGTGTGTTCCCTGGCTGTATAAAATCTGTGGACTAAGGTCCAGACTTTGTGGAGAATAGCTGTGTAGAGTGCCTGGATCATCCCCCACCCTATTCTGTCAGTACATTACCCTGAATAAAATTCTGTGTAAACTGAATGGAGTCACCTGCTTTGTTTTCTGGTCTCAAAGTGCCTTCTCAGTTTGGGAGATAGTATACCATCCCTGTTCCACTTTCTAACAGTGTGGCTTAGGGAATGGGATATCTTTGACTTGAGGATCTGCACTGTGCCCTATGGAGGGCACTTCCCTCCAGGCAGGAAGGAGGCTTTTAGTCTATCTGTTTCACGTTTAAATCTAGCCTATGACTAAGAGCAATTGCTTGAAATTCCAGAAAAGCTCCTCTGTCACATGAAGGCAGCAGGACAGGCACAGTTTAACCTCAGGGACTAGAAGGCAGAGCCAATTGCAGGGAAGGTGGACCTGCCCTCAGCCCAACTCAGAAAGAACGTGGTGGCTCTGGAGGAATGGGGGCTGTAGTTGGGGTGGGGGGAGGGTGATGAGAAGCAGCTCTCACTCCCACTCTGGGTCCTGTAAAGACTGTGGTCAGGGAGGCAGAACCAGGGGTTTGGTCTCAGATTGCTAAATACCCAGACTCTCATCCCTCCTACCTCAGTGAACCCCTCTCAGCAAGCAGGCATGAAACTCAGGAATCCAGCAAGGCTTGGCTGTCCTAAGAAAGAACAGCAGCTGTAGCTTGAGTCAAAAATAGAACATGGAACAGTTCTGGCTGCCTGCTAGATCTGGCTTGCTTCTGAAAAGACAAGAAAGAAAAAAAGACGAAAGAAGACCAAAAAAAATTTTTTTCTCTGAACCAAGTAACTGAGAAACTCCACCATTCTCTCCTCCCCCAGCTCTACACATCTTTAGAAAAGAAACACCAGCACCCCCTCCCCGCCCCCCCTTCCCCTACCAGGTACTGGCCCAGCCCCCAGAAAGCTGAAGCCCTCTGGTTTCTTTACAGCTGGGGGCTCCTATGGGGCCCAGGTGGAGGGAGGCTAGCCAGTGGCCCTGGGGCTGTTCATTAAGACTGTATTTGTGCCTCTTCTCTCTGCCTGGGGCTCTGGGGATTGCCCCTGACCTATAAGCCACACCCACCCTGTGTCAGGTGCTTTTAATCTCCCCCTCCCCAGGGCCTCTGTCTATGGCTTTAAGAAGAGTGGTCACTGAAGTCAAATTTGGGCTACCAGTTGTCCAAGTCTGCTCACCTCCAGTTAGCAGGGCCCAACAGGGTCTGGTCATTACTACCTGGCTTCTCCCTCTATCTAACCTTCTCTGGTTAGAGAGTCTAGACATTCCTGGGCTGCCCCAGCTTTCCCCTCCTGTCTGTGGCTGTCCAGAATTGGGACAGCTCTGATGTTGCTAAGCAAGGTTCCCCACACCTCACTACAAGCCCTACAACTCGGAGACCACAGGAAAATAGCTCAGGTTATAAACAGGTCAGGATCCAAGGCTTATGGTCACAGATGGCTTCTTTCTATTCCCAAGGCATCCCAATGTGTCCAGGGGCAAAAAGGCAGTTGTGGGAACACACAGAAGGGAGTTTCTGTCATGGGGTGGCCATTGGCCAATATGGCAATCACCATCATCCCTGGGAGAGGGTCTAAATATTTTTAAACAAAGGGCAAGGTTTAGGGATCTATTAACCAAATGACGGAGATCCCTGGATGCATCTGTTGGGAAAGCTAGAGGTCTGGTGGGCTGGAGGGATGGTATATGCTGGAATGTGGGCAAGGGTTGGAAAAGTCATGTAGCAGTCCTTCTCCTTCTCTCTCCTCCCCTGTTGGGTCCCAGGTCTGTGCCTTGGGGAAGGCTTCTCTCAGAGACATGAGTTATTGAGCAGGGTAGTGGGGAGAGAAGCCCTCCTTTACAGGCTCTGTACCCCTGCCTCCCAATGTCAGGTCCCAGGCTCTCCCTCTCCCAGGAGGCCCCTCAGATCTCAGTGGCTATGATATCCTCGTAGGGGATGTCGGCCCCTTCAAGGTCAATTTCAAAGGCCTCCCCTGCACCGTCCCCATGGGCCAGCTGCTTCAGGGCCTTCTCCAGGCGCTGATTCCGCTGGTACATGGCCAGGTAGCTCTGCTGTAGCTGCTTCTGGTACTGGATCACCTTCTCCTTCTCCTCCTTCCACACCAGCCGCTCATGCTGGAAGCCTGAGGACATCTGGTCATGGCCTTGCCGCTCCTCCTTGAGCTCTGCACGCAGCCGCTCCAACTCCCGCTGCAGGGCGGGGATGTCCTCAGAGAAGGTAGTCCCAGGCCCTGGCCCTAGCCCTGGCCCCAGAGACACAGCTTCCCACTGCAAGGCAGCCTGGGCCCGCAGCTCCAGCAGCTCCTGCTCCAGCAGGTTCACCTTCTCTCGGAGAAGCTCGGACTCATTTTTCTTGCGCTGAAGCTCATTCTCACAGACCTCTAGCTCCAGGCCCTTGGTGCGCAGAGCACTCTCTAAATCCTGAGTCTTCAGCTCCATGCCCTCCAGTTTGCCCCGTGTGTCCTTCAGCTGTGCCTTCAGACTAAGGATCTCACTAGCCTTGGTGTTGATTTCTGTCTGGGACTCCTTCAGCTGCTGCTTCAGAAGAGAGATTTCACCCGACTTCTGGCACACCTGCCAAGGGTTGGGTTGGGAAGAAGAGAAGGTGCTAAGATATAAGAGGTCCTTATCTGGGGAGAGTAACATCTTAACTGCCTAAAGAATTAGGCTGGTCCTGACATGGTGTCTCAAGAGAGTTCCCAGGCATGATGGTCTGGGTGACCCGTGAAGGCCAAGCCCCTCTCTGAGGTTCCTGTCATTCTGTAGTCTTAGTCTGTCCACATGCCTGTCTCAACCCCAAATTAGAGTCTATATCTCAATCAGTACCCAAACCCATGGTTGTGTGTAAACCAATGCTGACTACTGGTAGCTCCATCATCCACACTTAACATTAATGACCTTGAGTTCCATGTCTGGCAAACTTGTGTCATTCATGTTTGTGCCCACATCTTCTGACCTCATCCTTGTGCATACCTGGCTCCCCTCCTTCCCTACTGGGGATAAAGACTATTTTCAAGTATTAACTGCTACACGCCAATGACCAGCTACATGCCAATGACCAGCAACATGCCTGCCTCAGAAACAGTGTCCAATTCAGATCTGCCAAATGACAAGCTACTATGTTCTCCCCCTGCCCCACCCCTCCACCATTTCTATTCTTATTCCCCTTCGAAAGTTGGCCAAAAGCAGCAGACAAAATCAAAGGCACTGATTCAGACCCATGCATCTCTGGGGTCTTGACCATTTGGGGTCATGGGTGGCTCAAAAGATGACCTAGGCCAGTCTGGTTGGCTGTGTCACAAGAATGTTTCCTGCTGGCCTGTGGGAAAGCTGGACAGAATGAAGGTCAGAGCCTGGGCCTCTACAGAATGGATTCTTGGAACAAGACCAGAAGCTACCTTAATTTTTCCTCACTTCTCTCACAGTAGGAACCCCCAACTCCTTGCTCTCATGAGCCACTTATGAAGCAATGCATAACCTCATCCACAATGCTTGTGTGGGACCAGGAATGTCTTTCTAAGGCAAAGCCTGTTTGTTTCATGGAGGGAGCAACATAGAGTCATGGTTGAGGTATGGGCCTGCTTTTGAATCCTGGCTCGACCACATCTGTATATGATTGGCTGATCTTGGTGATAGTATGGGGTAGTGATTAAAAATGTGAACTTTGGAGCCAAATCATTAAATCAAATCCTGGCTCTGATACCTATTATGTGGTGATCTTGGGCAAGTCATTTAACTAGTTGTTTGCTACTATAACCTCTGTGTTGTCAGTTTTCTTAACTAAATTAAGGATTATTTATAATAACCCTACTTCATATAATAACCCTATGAAGTAGGGTTATTATAAGGATTAAATGGGAGAACCTAGGGTTTGGCACTTAATAAACACTTGATAAATTACTATTCTAAATATGTTTGCAATATATTTATGTGATATTATAAATACTTATTCTATTTATTGTTTTACTGTAAAGACTGACTGGACAATCTGGGAATGAGGTCACAGTGATGTCTAGCTTAGCTGGGAATTGGACAAATAAGCATGGATGCCTAGCACCAGGACGAGCTTATATCTTTGAGGTGCCCCAAAATGTCTCTGATCCCTGGCTGAAAAATGATCGTTAGGGTGGGGTCTTCTGTGCCATCATCAATAGGAAAGAGGAAAGACCCCTATGGCCAGCATCCTTTCCTCTGTGGGAAGCCTGGCAAATAAGTGATTTTCCCTTCTCACCTGTCCAGTACCCCCATTCATCTCTTTCATAGAAAGGATCATTTTCCTCTCTACTCCTGATAACATTTGTCACTCTAATTTCTAGAATGAGTACAGAAAGCTCCAGTGCAAACAGGTGCTTATGTTGCTGAGGATGTGTCACCCTGACCTGGGGTGGCACTGGTCTAATCAGACACAATGCCTCCTCAGTTCCTTTCCAGGGTAGGAGTCTTTGGGGAGAATAAAAGAACCACCATGCCCACACCCCTATCTGTCCCCTGTGCCACCTTGAGAGGCCCTTCAGGTGAGAAAAGCTATTTTCTGGAGATCAGAATGTGGGGATTAGCTTCTCCAGCTAAGCCAGGTCCAGATGTCTCATTTCCAGGTATGGTGTGCCCTTCTCTTGCTCTTCTATGTTTCCATTGCAGTCCACCAACTAGAAGCCCCACTTACATTCTGTCAGTGTAGAATGGCCCATTCTGTCAGTGATACCTGCCACAAATGAGGTCACTCTTACTAGTGCGTGGGGTTCCTTCTCTCAAAAATAACAAAGTCTGCTCTCTTGTGGGCTCTTGAACCAGCATGAACTCATGCTCAGGCATGGCTTGTGTTTCTTTTGAGCTTCCTGCAAGCAGATGAAGTGGGTCGGCCCTCAGCCCAGTGAGGCCTCTATTCTCTCAGTTCCAGCTCCTCAGTCAATGACTCAGTTAGCAAGTTGAATTCTGGAGGCCATGAGGCCCTGAGGCAGGAGAGAGTAGGAAGCTCACACTAATTGTACTCCCGACATGGTTCACCATGTAGCCCTTTGTTTGGGTCACAAGTCTGGCACTCTGACTCTTTGGGCAATTTGTGTACACACACCATGGGCTAGAACCTGGAGGAGAAGTGGGGACTGGTATCAAATAGCTGACCACCCCAAGCCCCCACCATAAGCCTCACCTCCCACTGAGTCTCTTCCAGTGCAGGGGCAAAGCTGGTCTTCTCCTTCTCATAGGACTTGAGCTTGGTCTCCAGCAGGTCCTGTTCCTTCATGAGGCTCTCAAGCTCCTGCCGGAGCTGCCTCTTCTCCTGCTGGAGCTGGAGCACCTGGAGGTGCAGCACCTGCTGTGTGCGCTGGCTCTTCTGTGAGGCTTGCTTCAACTTGCCACTGCACTTCTGCTCCAGGCCATCCAGCTCCTCCTTGCAGCGCCACTGCCGCTCTTCATAAGCCTGACTGGAGGCCAGCTCCTTCTCCTCAAGGCTACGCTGCAGCTTCTGGAGTGCTCCCTCCCTCTCCAGCAGCTTCTGCTCAAGCTCCTGGATGCTGCACTCATCTGTGGAGATGGGGGAGCGGATGCATGAGGAAGCCTTGTCTGCCTTGCTTGGGTGGGACAGCTTGCTGCCCCCATCGGAGAAAGACAGAGCCTTCAGACTCATCATGTTGCTGTCCTGGAGGATGATGCCCTGGGTGATATTGTGGGCTGAGCCCCCAAAACGGCTGGTGGGCCCCACTGGTGTAACCAGTGGATCCAACTGGTAGCTGCTGCTGGTGCTGTGTGTGGGCAGGCTAGACATGGAGTTCCGGCCAGAGTCAGACAGTGCCCCAGAGCACAGGCTGGGCTTTGGATCCTGTTCCTTGGGCTTGTCTGGAGGGGCAGGGTGCAGCTGGTGGCTGGCGCTCTCAGGGGATGAGTGGAGGATGGCTCCTGACCGTGGCAGCACAGGCTTGAATGCTGTGGGCCTCACTGCACCTTTCTCTGACCCCTGGTGAGGAAAACAACCATATTGATTCCATGTCTCACTTCAACTCCCCTCTCACCTTTCCCTCCCTTGCTGGGTGTGTATGCTGGCCACACAGCATCCTTTTTGGTAATAACCATAGGCGATCTTGCCTGTTGCTATGAAGCAGCTGAATATGGTGAGTCTCTCTCAAGAAGGAGGAATTCCTTTGTGGCTAGGGGATGTACTTAAGGATCACTGAGTTACTTTGTTTTACAAACTACTAACCTGTCATCAGCTTGTCCCAGCCCTTGTGAGATGATGAATAGCATCTTTAGGTTCCCTGGCTGAGATCCCTAGGCCAGGGCTCTGGTTCTGGGTCTCTGTGTGGTGTAGGGTAAGGGCATTAGGCTCAACAAGCATGGTCAACAAGCATCCCTTCTTCACCTTCACTGCCCCTTCCAGTAGGCAGAAGCAAGAATACTGGCTGTGACTAATAGCAAAGGGTTGGGAAGACCACTTGCAATAACAATCCTTTTTTTTTTTTATGTTTATTTCTGAGACAGAGAGAGACAGAGCTTGAGTGGGGGAGGGGCAGAGAGAGAGGGAGACACAGAATCCGAAGCAGGCTCCAGGCTCTGAGCTGTCAGCACAGAGCCCGGCGCGGGGCTCGAACTCACAGACCATGAGATCATGACCTGAGCCAATGTCTGATGCTCAACTGACTGAGCCACCCAGGCGCCCCAACAATCCTTTTCTTAAAACTGTCATTTTCATTGGAAGAGTACCTTGCAGTCTACAAACCCTTTAAATTTGAAAAGCTTAAAGCTCTATGCAAACTAAGTGGGTCACTTCCTAGAATATCAAAGTCATGGATTCATCCCCCCAGGTGGGGGCATGTGATTAACTAGGGAAATTGTTCTCAAGTCCACTGGTTGGACCCATGAGAACTTGAGCTGGCATAAGGGCTGGATTTCTGACTTTATAGGCCTCTTTTGACCTCATTTCTGCTAAACTGATGATAACAAACTCAGTTCTTATCCCACCGAAGACACTTTCAAGGCCTGGCTTGAGTGAGGAGCTGCTGCACCACAACAGCAGCAAGGGAGGGAAAGGCCCACCTTCAGGAGTCTGCTAGCAGCAAAGCTGCTAGCTCTCTACAAGCAGACTCTCCATTGGCTCTTCCAGATGATAATACAGCTCCCTCCCCTTGCCATGTACTTGAAAATGCTGCTGTTGGTCCTGTTTTGACAATCCAGAGTTACATTCCAGTAGGGCTCAGAAAGGCTTTCATTTCTCTTTTCCTTTTTGTGTAAGGGATCACTCAAGACTTCCAGTTTAGGGGAATGACCAGTGCTTCAATTCCCTCGTCCAGCCTTTGATCTCTGTGGTGTGACTGAGCATTTCCACCCTCACCACCACTGCCCTGGCTTCTTGGGTTTTTAAATGTTTGTATCACTGCCTTCATTGCCATCCTTGCCCCCACTCTCTTCTTCCCATTTTGCTCTCTATTGCTTTTCCAACCCACCCACTCTTACCAAAGACCCTTGCTTACCATTTCTAGCTGACTGGAGAAGGGCATAAGCTTGGGTGGGGTGGACGGGCCAAAGTCCACCCCAGCCTGGCCGCCTATGTCCCCACTAGACAGTGCAGTGTAATCTGGGTGGTGGGAGCCCCGGGCTTTCTGGCTGACCTTGATGTAGAAGAAGTCTTCACTCTTTCCCATTTTGGAGCTGGACTTGCCATGGCCTGAGTCCTGGGAGAAGCCAAATCTCAGAAGCCCATCTGAATATCGATTGAGTTTCTTGAGATGGGAGGACTTGCCCAGCTTGTACCGTGAAGCCCGGCAGTGCTTGCCATGGAAGCTGTGGCCAGAAATGAGGCTACTGACACTACCCATGCTGACTTGGGGCTAAAGACAGACAGGGAAGAGCAGGGATCTGGTGTGGCTGCAGCAGTAAGGGGCAGTCCTGGTACCAAGAAGAAGCTGCGGTCATAGCAGAAGTCTCACAGAACCTGGGAGAGCTGTAGACCTGTAAGGGGACAAAAGGTAGAAGTCAGCCTGAGATGAGCAAGCCACGGCACAGTCCTCAATGGTGACTTCGTGAGGAGCTGCTCTGATGGCCAGATCTGAGCAGTAGAGAAATGTATGCTTCTCCTGATGAAAACTCAGCCTTGACTCTGTTACTGGACTCTTTCGTTCACTCTTCCTTTGTCTACTAATTCAACAAACATCACTGAGACCCTCCTTTGGGATGGCCCTCCTCTAAGTCCTGGGATATAGTAGTGACTAACATGGCTATTGTCCCCACATTCATGGGGCTTGTGTTCAACGTAGTGTGGACAAGCCATCAACAAATCAATGTTTACCATCCTTAGGATATATGTGCTGGGAGCGGGGAAATAAAGCACAGTGAGCAGCATAGAATTCTGGGAGGTCATTATTTTATACAGGTGGCACAAGGGAGGCCTCTTTGTTGGGGTACTGCTTGAAGAAACCTCAAGAAAATGAGGGAGCAGCCATGTGGAAATCTGGGGAAGAGAGATGCTCAGAAGCCTCAAGAGCAAAAGCTCTAAGTCCCTGTGGTAGCTTGTGCTTGGCATATGTAAGATCATCCAGGAGACCAGTCTGGCTGGAGGATAGTTAGCAATGCGGGCGGTGTACAATAGTCAGAAGTCAGAGAACTAGCAGGTTCCAGGAAACATAGAGTGTGGTTGGCCATAGGGCTTGGACTTTTACTCTGATTGAGATGAGGAGCCCCTGCGTGACTCTGAGAAGCTTATTACTTGATCTGACTTAGGCTGTGGAGGGTCACTCTGACTGCAGGTTGGAGACAGTGGGCTGCTGATTGGCCTGGATGGAAGTGGTGAGCCAATTACATTAGGTGAGTGACTAACATGGCTGGGCCAGGGTGGTAGCAGTGTATTACATTTTAGGTATAATTTTAAAGTTGAGCTGATAGGATTTGCTACTGGACTGGATGCCAGACATAAGAGAAAGAAAGAAGTCAAGAATGACTTCAGTGCTTTGTTTTTTAATGTTTATTTATTTTTGAGAGACAGACAGAGAGAGAGTGCAAGCAGGAGAGGGACAGAGAGAGAGGGAGACACAGAATCCAAAGCAGGCTCCAGGTTCTGAGCTGTCAGCACATTGCCTGACACGGGGCTTGAAGTCACAAAATGTGAGATTATGATCTGAGCTGAAGTCAGACACTTAACCGACTGAACCACCCAGGTGCCTCCTTCAATGTTTTTATCCAAGCAACTAGAGGCCATAAGTTGCCATTTATTGAGAAACAAAAGACTACAAAAAGAGCCAGTTTAGGATGAGATGGGGTGGAAAGTAGGAGTTTGGTTTAAGACATTAAGTTTGCAGAGTCAATTAGACATCCAAAGAGTGCTGTAGGGTAGGCAGAAGGATGGGTGAGGAGCTGTACATTTCCATGTAAAAGTTGTTTGTTCTAGAAGCCAGCTATGTCACTAGATGACTTCACTACAGAAGTAAAGGCAGGAAGATAAGGGAAGTCTGAGGACTGGTTAATGAAGGTCAGGAAGGTGAGGAAGAATGAGAAAGAGAAACTGAGAAGGTTCTAACTGATAGAGGAGACATAAGAAAGAAACTGTTTCATAAGGATGGTGTCAAGTGCTGCCGATGATGACTGTATTGGTCAATGGATCTGGCCAGGTGGAGGTACTGACCTCGATGAGAGTAGTTTCGGTGAAGGAGTAAAAAAAAAAGACTTTACCAGAGAGCGTTCAGGAGAGAAAGAGGAGGGAAATAATTGTACCCTCAAACATTGAGAAGTACCTTCAGTTTCGCAAAGTGATTCTGAAACACACTTAACATGTTTTTAAAAGTAATAGGAATGTACAATCTAGTAATCTCACTACTGAGTATCTACACCAAAAATACAAACACTAATTCAAAGGGATACATGTACCCCTATGTTTGTTGCAGTGTTATTTACAATAGCCAATCTATGGAAGCAGCCTAAGTGGGATGGATGGATAAAGAAGCTGTGATATACACACGCGCATGCACACATGCACATACACACTGGAATATTATCCAGCCATGTAAAAGAATGAAATTTTGCCATTTGCAACGACATGGATGGAGCTAAAGTATATAATGCTAAGTTAAATAAGTCAGAGAAAGAAAAGTACTGTACGATTTCACTCGTATGTGGAATTTAAGAAACAAAACATGAACAAAGGGAAAAAAAGAGAAAAAGAAAAACCACAACACAGACTTAACTATAGTGAACAAAGTGATGGTTACCAGAGGGGAGGTGGGTGGGGGGATGTGTGAAATAGGTGATGGGGATTAAGGAGTACACTTGTCAGTGATGAACACCAGGTGATATATGGAATTGCTGAATCACTATGTTGTACACCTAAAACTAATATAATACTGTATGTTAACTATACTGGAATTAAAATAAAAAACTTAAAAGTTAAAGGAATGCATTTTATAATCAATGCTTAACATAACAATAACCTTGCCAGTCACCACATTGAGGAATACACTGGGATGTCAACACCAGCATATTTGTAGATTTGGACAAATCTCTAAGCATAGGTCACATGATTTTCAAAGCTGGGAAAAACTGTGGTTGTCATGCATTGTGAAGGAGTATTTCTCAGTCAAAAGACAGATGATGGGAGGGAAACTATAAGTTTAATAAAATGGGAAATGCAGAAGAAACTCTTTCTTCTTTCTTCTGCTCTAAATTACACTGTCAATCCTAAAGTTGTGAAAGAAGTCCCAGGTGGGTTATAGAGCACTGTACGTGCACAGTGAAAAAGAACAAGAAGACTCTTTAGACTCTGAATATGAAGGCTTGAACTCAAACTTGCATTGTTATCATGAATTATAAAATAGTTATGTTATGAATAAATGCATTCTATATTCCATTAGTAGAAACTAAACACAATAAAACATCATGGTGTAAGTGCAATGTATGTTTTCTTTGAAAAGCTTTTTATTAAATTGATGGCCTTTTAGAATCAAAGAAACACAATTATGTCTACTGATAGGATTGTTATGAGAAGTTTATAAGCACCAAAATAATCTAACAGGTCTGGTATGCCTACTGAATGCCCAGTACCTAATAGGCACTCCACAACTGGTAGGTATTTTCATTGGTATCTATCATTGCTCTCTCCAGCATTCATCACCCCTATGTTATCCTCAATGCCTCACCTCATTTTCCAGAACTAGTGCTCTCAATTCCAAATGCAACTTTCTTGCATCCCAATCTCTAATGGTATTACTTAGGAATACAGAGTTCCCTGTTAATTTAACAGCTGACAAAGACAAGTTGTGTTTTTTGTCCCCCACATCATCTATCTTTTGCTTAGCTGGGACTTCAGATCCTAAGAAGTTGTCCAAATGTAGGAAAGCTATTTTTTTAATTTTATTTTTTCTTAATTTACATCCAAATTAGCATATAGTACAACAATGATTTCAGGAGTAGATTCCTTAATGCCCCTTATCCATTTAGCCCATCTCCCCCTCCCACAACCCTTCAAATAACCCTCTGATTATTCTCCATTTTTGCGTTTCTTATGTTTTGTTCCCCTCCCTGTTTTTTACATTATTTTTGCTTCCCTTCCCTTGTGTTCATCTTTTCTGTGTCTTAAAGTCCTCATATGAGTGAAGTCATATGATATTTGTCTTTCTCTGACTAATTTCGCTTAGCATAATACCCTCTGGTTCCATCCACGTAGCTGCAAATGGCAAGATTTCATTATTTTTGATTGCTGAGTAATACTCCATCGTGTGTGTGTGTGTGTGTGTGTGTGTGTATG